TTGCTTTCGTCTCGACTCGACTCGACTCGAAAGGTATGGTAGATAAATGGCAAGTGGAAATTATATAAAATAAATACACTAACAACAAAAGAGAAAAATAACATTATATACTGTAATAGTCGCGCGAAGATAAATAAAAATAAGATTGGGATTGGAGTTGGAGTTGGAGTTGGAAATGGAAATCGAATCCAGTCCAAGATGACAGACGGGCGCACCGCATGCTTTTTCTCACCCTCGAGCCTTGCGGTGCTTGCGGATCGCGCATCAAGGCAATCTACCTGCATGCCACTTTTGGCATCCGACGTGTCTGCCGATGTTTTGCCGAACGCTAAAGAGCATCAGCATCGACAGCGACGACAGCGACGACAGCGCCCCCTTCCTCTCAGCGCGAGGCCACACCAGTGGTCAGGCTGATTCAATGTCGGGATTGAGGCGGCGCGGGCTCAGTCGTCCAGCTCGCCGTGTCTCACCCTTTGATCTTACACCAACGGCAACGGCTGCACTGCATGGCCATGGTTGGGCTTGACCACAGTGGCCGGCGCTGCCCCGGAGTGTCGCTCGCTTCGCGCGGGTGAGTCCAGCCCCGCCGCTTCCGCCCAGCCACACACAGACACACGCACACGCGCGTCCATGCATCCGCCCACCCACGCATCCACATCCACTTCCACTTCTGCAGCTCGCGTATTCAGCCACCTCCCCCTCATGCCGTGATGCAGCAAATGCAGCTCCTTTGGTGGATTGGGGGCGGCCAAATTTGAGTTTGGCTCTGGCGTGCCCCGAGCTTGATTCTTGGGTGGCCCTTCTTGGGTGTCGGTCTCCCGGCTCGAGTGACCCCCTCCTCGGCTCAACCGCATTTGAACGGATCGCCCCCGTCTGAGTCGGCCAGTCGCGGCGTCCCATCTGCCGTGCCCGGCAGCCTCGGAAGTGCACCAGAAGGCTCGGGGAGCCACAGCCGTACCGTAAGACGCACGCCTGGACGGGGTCGAAGCAACGACAGCACCCCTCTTCCCCTCCTGGCCGGTAATCATTCTGCGCTTCGCTCGCCTGCCACCCTTCGACCCTTGGCAAGGCAAAGTGGCTTTCTCGCCTCGCCTCGCTCACTCGCAGCTCAACCACCTGCATATCCTAACCGCACCCAACACCCAAAGTGGCCGTTCTGCCGTTGACCGCTCTCGGCTCGTCCTGCGCATCAGCTGGTTGCGCCGCCCCGCCGCCCAGTGGTTCGGAACGCGCCACTGCTTGGCATCTCCCTCGTCCCTCTTCGGCGGCTTCTCCGTCTCGCCAACGCCGTCGGAAGCTCCGCACACTGCTGCTGCTGCGGTGGCGCCTGGACCTCGCCGCCTGTCCGAAACCCCGGGCTGATTTCGAACCCACTCGTCTTGCGCTCGAGGCGGCTGATGGTGGTGCGGCCCTGCTGGTCTCGCGCTTGTCCGTCTGCTTGTACCTGACCCCCCTACCGCCGTCACACCTCTTGCTTCACCACCACTCTAGCCATTCCCTCATCCGCCAAAGTTGGTCGACCGTTCCCTTAAGCACGACTCCAGTATCGTCACGCTCAATAGCTCCATACGGCTCGCCACCTGATATCTACATCATCTTCACCCTTTTCGACACCTCGCGACCATAAGCTAGCCGCCACCCAGTCAGCGTCGCCAATTCGACTTCCCGTTGCCTCCACGTTCTCCTCTGCTCGCATACAACCGTGCGCCAGCTCAGATCCACCAGCCACCGACGTTCACTTTTCCCAGTCGGCTCGTTGCTACAGCGCTCGCGGCTGATCCGTTGCATCTCCGAGGAAGGCGAGCTTTCCGTCGCGTCGGAGCTGTCCCGACACTCGCAAAGCCAGGTTCCTCCGCTCTTTTGCCCGGCCACCTTCGACGCTTCACGCCTTCATTGATTCTCAGCACACGACGCCTGTCTTCCATCTGCATACGACTCGATGCGCCTCCGAGGGACTAGCTCGTAGCAGCGACTTTCCACGCCACATTCCGAGACCGATCCAGGTGTTTGCACACACTTGCTCTGAACGAGGCGCGAGCGCGCGGTCTTGCAATTTGTCCGATGCTCACCTCACTACGACCGCGCTCACCCCCTTTCTTTGACGTCGCCGCTCGCCCACAGCCACACCACATCACCTCGACGCTCCACCCTGCCCACTGCGGCACGCCTGCCTATCCGTCGCAAATGGAGGGCTCTGGCGCAAGGCGCTACACCACGCCTCCTCCCGGACGCCAAGCGCCTCCATACCAGCACACACCTTCGCACTATCTTGCAGATGCAGGGCCGCATCCTCTCGAGCAGAGGCCCAGCCCTCAGTCGCGACAGCGCTCCTGGCACCATCCTTACATGCCCTCCCCACGCGGTGCACAGGGACCCAGTCCGCCTGCCCCGCTCGAAGCTGGCGCAATGCCCTTGACGCGCGCTCCCGACTACGCTCCTCACGATCCGCTCGCCCACGGTCTGCGTCACAACACATCGCCGTCCTATCGGTCCGAGCCCCTCCATCCTGCGCCCGACGCCAGGTCGCGAGCCTCGTCTCGTGCAGAGGCGCAACCGCTCAGCATTTCAACACTTCCGACACATCCCTCGCGTGACGTCGAGAGGATCGGGGGCATCGGTCCCAGCCGCAACCGGGGCCGCTCCAGCACTCTGACGCTGCCACATCCCGACACCGCTCGGGTCCGAGGAAGCTCCTTTATCGGCGCAAGGCAGCACACTCCTTCGCATGGCCCCGTCCACGTCAAGTACGATGAGCAGTCGCCGCTGCCACCGCGGTCGTGGGACGAGGGCCGCTCATTCCGCGACGGCTACCACAATCACGGAGGCGAGATGTATGCGCACAGGCACCACTCGCCAGGCCTTCGCCCATCGTCGCGAGAATCGCCCATCCTCTTCGCTCCGCTCAGTCCGAGCCAGGACCCTCACATGCAGGTGCCTCGCCGCATTTCGGGAGGCCAGCACGGCAACCCATCTGTCATGGCACGCCCAGGCCAGTATCGATCGAGACCTGGCACGCCTGTCTCTCCGCTCAACATGGAGGGGCTTTCGATGGAGGAGGTTTCGATGCCTTCGGCTTCGGGCATGGCCGTACCATCGCTTCACGGCCAGGGACGTTCGCCTGCCGAAGCACGCGTCCGCAACGACTACTTTGGACCAGCAGCAGCGGCCGACTGGACACGACAGAAGCACAAGAACGGCGACTTGGCCGCCAGCCCTCCTTCCGTATCCTATGCGCCCGGACCTCGGAATGACCCGCGAGACTACAGCTACCGTCCTGCGACAGTCATGCACGGCGAAGCCATCTCGCCCGAGTCGGAGATGGCGCGCTACCACCAGGCCTCCTATCCTGTGGGACAGCCTCCCATGCATCCCGGTCGCGCTCCGGGACCCGAACCCATTCACCACCACCCTTCCAGGTCGCGTCTGGAGCAGATCGACCGCGAACGATTCGCCGCGCCGCACCATCCCGTCGCCGCGTCGCCAGACGCCTATCTCGGTGCCGGCGCAACGCAGGATCACGGCTTCCACGCCGAGTATACCTCGCAGCCGAGGCCGAGATCCGCCGGCACGTTTGTGGCCAACGCGCCCCAGCAGAACGCGCCGGTCGACCGCATCGCACACAGCCGACGAAGGAGGCGACCACCCTACTCGTATTCGTCGATGATCACCCAGGCCATCGCCTCGTCGTCGGAAGGCCGCATGACGCTTCGTGAGATCTACACCTGGATCAGCAGCAATTTTTCGGGGTACCCCATGGCGGGTCCCGACTCGCAGGGCTGGCAGAATACGGTGCGACACAACCTCTCGCTCGGCAAGATCTTCATCAAGAAGGCGCGTACCGCGCAGGACATCTACGACAGCTGCTCGTCGGGCAATCCATCGCAGAGTCAGGCGGCGCGAGGCAAGGGAGGCTGGTGGACGCTGCATCCCGTGGTGCTGGCGCAGATCCGTTCGGGCCAGCGCACGCACAACGACGAATTCGACGACGTCGAGCGCCTGGTAGAGACCGAGAATGCGGCCGCCAAGGAAGGTGCTGTTGCTCGAGTTGCCGGCGCGGCTGTGATGGCAGCGACCTCGTCGGTGTCGTCGGCAGACGGCAGGTCCGCGCCTCGCCGTTCCTCGGCGGAGATCAGTCAGCACAAGACACTCAGCCGACAGCGAAGCTACTCGGACTCGATGGATCCCACTACGGTGGAGCACCGCCGCGTGGGCCCGAGCCAGCATGCCTTGACCGCGCCGGTGAGCCGCAAGACGTCGATCGGTGCGAGTCGCAATGAGGCGAATGCGCGGACTGCGTATGCACCGTATTCGTCTCCGCTCTCGGATCGCAGGATCAGCGGCTCGTCGTCGGACCGCACCCGTGTCGACATGCCGTCGGTGCTGCAGACCAAGCTTGGCGGTGGTGCGAACGATGAGCGAGTGCAGGCGTTTGGGCGCTTTCGTGGACACACGATCGGCGGGCTCGAATCGTCTTCGCCTCGCCGGTCCAACTCGATGTCGCACGCCGAGATGGATGGGGCGGGCGAAGAAGCGCACGCGCATGTGCTGATGCGCCTGCAGCCGGATGTCTCGACGAGTCCGCGTGCGGCCGGCCGGGTGCGCGCGCAGATGGTGGAGGACGTCGAGATGGAGCCTTGGGCGGCGTCGCCGCGCCCGTCGAGCGTGGTGCTGCAGGAGGCGCGCGAGACGCTCGCCAACACCAAACAGCAGCAGCAGGAGCAGATGCTGCGTCAGGCACACGAGGACAAGGTTGCGCTGGCTGACGCCCCCGAGGGCGCCGGTCGCATGGCCATCCGCGGTCTTCTCAACAGCTAGCAGACGCAGCCACGGTACCCAGCCGGACTAGGAACTACAATTCTGGATATACCTTCAGGGACGACTGGCGAGTGCCAGCACTTTTATACCCTTTTATCGCATGGAATCGGAGCATCGCTTTGGCATCTTGTGCGACTCGACGAGTGTGATTGTTTGTGGTGTTGAGCTTCCGCAGGCTGTGGGCGTGTGCTCGGCTATGAGAGTGCGAAGATGTGAGTGCAAAGATCGTGGTCTCGATTAGCGAATGGGAGGACGGTGATGATCGGGATTGAGATCTGTGTATCGGGCGATGTAGGCGACTAGGGCAAAATTAGCGATAGAAGCCCGTCAAGCGAGGCGGGGGCGACTTGGCAAAGGCGGGCACGTGGATCAATGGAGCGCGGTGATTCGCTGCTGGGCTCGAAAAAGCGCTGGGCGTCGAGTCGACGGCGAATTTCAATTTTGACCGCTCAGACTCCACCGGGCTACAATCATCGACCCGCTGCACGAAAGTATCAAGGGTTCGTGAGAGCAAGCGTGGGAGAGGGGGATGAGGAAGGCTACAGCAAGGAGAGAGAATAGACTTTCAAAAGCGTGAGTCGTTGCATGGCTGCGACACTGAGGTGGGTTTCATAGAAGCGGTGATGTCTCGAGCGGCTCGGGAGAAGCGGCTGTTGAGGGCCGGATTAGCGGATGGGCCGAAGTCGGGCCGTCGGTTGGATTCCCGAAGAGGCAGCTCAGACTTGTGATTGGATAGAAGGATGAGGCTGTATGTTGGCGCTCTGACTGGAGCGGCGTGGAACAGGCTAGACGAGGGCAGAGATCGACAAGGCGAGCCGCAATGCAAACAGATGTGCAAAGTCGCCAACGTGGGATGGCCTGCCACGTTGCAGCACGGTTCTACGTCCCACTTGAATCAGTGAGCAGGCCAAGCTCGGCCAAGACACCGGTCGTGAGCTCAGAGCATGTAAAGCAGGGACGCTCGCAGCCATGGTGGTGCCTGGGCTCGTCTGCTTCGGCTGGTCCGAGTCCAAGACAAGCTTTGCGAGAGGGCGCGAGGTGACAAGTGGAGCGAGCCAGATGCAATCTTGGCACGTTCCCTTGTCGACCGCCTGCAAATCGAAACTCCCGCTCGAAAGAAAGCGAGCAGCAGGCGTTGCTGCTCCAGCTGCATCGGCCCCGCCGCGAAATTCCACACGCCTCAGCCAGGCGTCATTTCGAGAAATGTGGTTTTGGTGGCTCGCCTGCAGCTGTGTGTGAAATGCACGCATCGAGGTGCTTGTGATTGATCATGGTCCATGCTCGGCTCGCGTCCTGAGCCGCTTCTGCTTCCGACGCACTTGCCTGTCTTCCTTCCTCTCCCTCGTGCTGCTCTCTCTCTCTCTCTCTTTCTCGCCCACTAAGTTAGGCTCATCCGCTTCTGTTCTGTTCACTGCTGTGGCGCTCCATCGGTGCTTCCGCTGCATCGTGCATTGGCCCCTCTGCGCATCGGACTCGCCGACCCATCACCGCTCAGGCCGCCTTTCCGACCACCTCCTTCGCTCGCCCACTCCACCATCTTCTTGCGCCCTTCCCAAGCCCATACCGTATCTGGCACCCTTGCCAGCATCATCCCGTCCCATTTGCGGCTGGCGCGCCACCCCTCAGCATCTCTGCCTACGCTGCATCTGATATACACGCACATCCACCTCGGCTTGCAGCCATCTCCGACCGCGACCTCCACGTGAAGCCGCCTACCTAGCCATCCGCTCTGCCTAGCTGCGAGCACAGGCACATCCGTCTCCCTTTCACTCGAGACATCAACCCCCACTCGTCCTGCCAACACTCGCTCTGGTTCCACCGTCAACATGAAGTTCGGTCGCACCATCAAGACCTCGCTCTACGCCGAGTGGGCCGACAAGTACCTCCAGTACTCGGAGCTCAAGAAGGAGATCAAGAGTCGCATGGCAAAGAACAACGGCACTTGGACAGACAAGGATGAGGACGAGTTCGTCGCCATCCTCAGCAAGGAGCTCGACAAGGTCTACGACTTCCAAAAGGTCAAGGTCAAGGAGCTCGCCGAGCGCATCAAGCAGGCCCAGGCCGAAGTCAACCTGCTCGTCTCGTCGCGTCCCAACTCCTCCACCTCGCTCCCTTCGCGCGCCAACTCTCGCCCCTCGTCCCGTGGCGGCTCCGATACCGAGGGCGAGGACGGATCGCATCGCAAACGCAGAAGCGTCGGCCCGGATGGCAACATCGTCTACGCAGCTCACGACGCCGGCTCCGACGACGAGTTCGACACGGACACCGAGGACAGCGACGCATACGAGGAGCGCTTCCTCGAGCTCGAAGAGCGCCTCGCCATCATCATCGCAGACGTACACGACCTCGCCCTCTTCACCAAGCTCAACTACACCGGCTTCCACAAGATCGTCAAGAAGCACGACAAGCAGACCGGCCGTCTTCTCCGCAAGGAATTTGTACAGCACTACCTCTCCTCGCGCCCCTTCTACAAGGAGAACTACGACCAGCTCATCGTCAAGCTCTCCAAGCTCTTCGACCTCGTCCGTACCCGCGGCAACCCCGTCCAGGGCGACTCGAGCGCCGGCGGCAACCAGTCGGCCTTTGTGCGTCAGACCACCAAGTACTGGGTGCACCCCGACAACATCGTGCCTCTCAAGCTCGTCATCCTCAAGCACCTTCCCGTCCTCGTCTTTAACTCCGAGAAAGAGTACCAGCAGGAGGATTCGGCCATCACCTCGATCTACTACGACAACGAGGACCTCGAGCTCTACCTCGGCCGTCTCGAGAAGACGGAGGGTGCAGAGGCCATCCGTCTGCGATGGTACGGAGGCATGGACAACAAGCAGATCTTTGTCGAGCGCAAGACGCATCGCGAAGACTGGACCGGTGAAAAGTCGGTCAAGGCGCGCTTCCCCATCAAGGAGGAGAACGTCAACGCCTGGATGCGTGGCGACTACACCATGGACGAGACCTTCGAGGCGCTTCGCAAGAAGGGCAAGAAGTCCGACAAGGAGATCGACTCGATGCTCCAGCTCGCCAACGAGGTGCAGTACTCGGTGCTCACGCAAAAGCTCCAGCCCGTCATGCGCAGCTTCTACAACCGCACCGCGTTCCAGCTGCCCGGCGATGCGCGTGTGCGCATCTCGCTCGACACCGAACTCTCGCTCGTGCGCGAAGACAACTGGGACGGCCGCCAGCGCGCCGGCCACAACTGGAGGCGCATGGACATCGGCATCGACTACCCCTTCGACCAGCTACCCGCCGAGGACATTGAGCGCTTCCCCTACGGCGTCCTTGAGGTCAAGCTGCAGACGCAGTTGGGCCAGGAGCCTCCGCAGTGGATCCGCGATCTGGTCTCGAGCCATCTCGTAGAGGCCGTGCCCAAGTTCTCCAAGTTCATCCACGGATGTGCCACCTTGCTGCCCAACCGCGTCGACCTGGTTCCTTTCTGGCTGCCGCAGATGGACATTGACATCCGCAAGCCGCCCACTCACCACCTCGCCATCGAACGACCCAGCTCCATGGTGCACAGCCCTGCCGGCTCGTCGCGACCCGACACGCCTGCGTCGCGCTCGAGCCACCAGCCGTACAACGAGCCAGTTTCCGAAGACGAGTTCGAGGCAGGCGACGACGAGGAGGACCGCGGGCAGATCATGGCCGACGAGACACACGAGGCGGACAACGTCGGCATCTCTGCCTTCGACCCGCGCATCCGCGAGGCGAGAGAGGAGCGCGAGCGCAACATCAAGCTGCGCCAGCAGGAGCTCGAGAGCCTGCGCAAGGAGAACCCGGACAAGACATCCAACGTGGCTGGCGGCATGCTTGCTGTGGCCTCGGCGGCGGTGGCGACCGAACGACGGGCGTCGCAGACCAAGTCCAAGGCGGCGGCGCCGTCGCGCGAAGAGATCCTGGCGCCATCGCATCGGTTCGACAACCAGTTCTTCTCCAAGCTCACGCCCAAGAACATCCAGAGGCTGTGGAGGACCAAGGGGTCGAGCCACGAGCACGACGAGGACCACACGGATGCCGAGGCGGACGACGAGGACGAGCGTGCGCGACGCGCGCTCGAGGGGCAGGACGAAGAGGTGCCGCGTGGACCCAATGTCGAGTACGTGCGCGACTTCCACGCGCAGCCGGGCAAGAAGGTGAGCGTGCCCATCCGCATCGAGCCCAAGGTGTACTTTGCCAACGAGCGCACGTTCCTCAAGTGGCTCGAGTTCAACGTGTACCTCTCGGCGCTCGCGGTGGGTCTGCTCAACTTTAGCTCGCCCGGCGACCGCACGGGTCTGATCGCCAGCTCGTTCTTCACCATCGTGGCGCTGGTCGGCATTGCATACTCGGGCGTCATCTTTGTCATCCGTGCGCTCAAGATCCGCAAGCGCGAGAGCAGCCACATTTACTTTGACGCGTACGGGCCCACGATTCTGTGTGCGGCCATCCTGTCGGCGGTGGTGATCAACTTTGTCCTCAGGTTCACAGAGAGCCACCAACATCGCAACCAGCGCGGCGTGCTCAACTGATGCCCCAAGGCGGCGTGCGGATGGAGCTGCAATCTTCTGGTTCCGGTTTAGTCGGGTCGACCGAAGGCCCCAATGCGTGTATATAGTCGTCTCGAATGTCTGTCATCGCAAGTCGTTTTTCTCTCATGGGCGAGCATGGACACGGAATTGGATGGGAGACGGATGGCATGAAGTGAGATTGCAGAACAGGAAAGAGAATGCAGAGACGGGCAGCGAGCTTTGTTCTACTTGAGACGCTTTTTGGAAGTTTCGACGTGCTTTCGGAGACGGCGACTCTTCTCCCTGAGACTTGCGTTCTTCTTTGAGCGGACGGACCAGGACCTGGCGATCATTTGGAAGTTCTTGGTCTTTTGCTTTTCGCGGTTGGTGGAGGAGGATTCCTTTTCCTTGTTCTTCTTTCCCTTTTTCGAGCCGTACTTTTCGCGGTCTTCTCGGCCCTTTTCGATGGAAGCCATACGGTCCTCATACGTTGCCTTTGCCTTCTTCCTTGGGCCAAGGATATCGCCTTCGTCGACAAAGTTTCCAGCCAAAGAGGTGGTGCGTTTGAGGGACTTGAGTTCTTCGAGTTGACGCTTGGCACGGTTGCCCGCCAGACCGCCCTGGGCAATCGCTTCTTCCGCAGCTGCAATGCGCAGTTCAGTCAGCTTGGCAAAGTCCGCGGGGGTGAGGATCTTGGTGGTAGCCAGTTTGGAAATGTGCTGCTCTTCGGCAGCTAGTTGCTGCTTGAGCTCGGAAGCGCCAGTGGTGTCGTCTTCAGCGTCGGAATCAGCAGCTTCGGCTTCGGATTCAGAGTCGGAGGTCGCCACGTCTTCGCCAGCGTCTCGACGAGCCTGGCGGGCGGTGTGGCGTTCGAGCTTGGCGCGCTTCTTTTGACGCGACTCGCGCGCGGCGATGAGACGTTCCTTGACCGTGCGCTTGCGCTTGCGCGTCTCGTCGTCATCATCCGAGTCCGAGTCGGACAAACGCAAGACACCGTCTTCATCGTCACTCGAGACGTTGATCCAGCCACCTTCCGACTCGGCATCCGAATCGTCCGAGTCCGACTCCTCCTCCCAACCCTCCCAGCCCTTGTCGTCGGCATCCTCACCCTCCTCTTCACCACCCTTGCGCTGCTCTTCCTCCAGATGCTTCTCGAGCAGATCGATGCCCTGGATTCCGTGCACCTCGTCTTGGTCCACACCGAACGGCGCAGCTGCACGACCCTCTTGGACGGCAAGCGCACCCATCTTTCCGCGCTCCTTCTTCTTGAGCATGGCCGGGTTCACCTCGCGGTAGAGAGCGAGCAGACCGCGCGAGGCGGCACAGACACCCTTGTCCTTGCTCTTGCGGTAGCTGATGAGGTCCTCGAGCAGCGTCTCGTCCATGGCCCACGGCTGGCGCTTGCAGATCTCGCGGATACTGTTGATGCCTGCCGCGACGACCTCGGAGCTGACGCCGGGATGCACGAATGCGTCGGAGAGCTTGCGCACGACGGGGGTGATGACGTCGGGTGGCGTCTGGTCGTGCACGCTCTGTGCGAGCGAGACGAGGATGTGGGTGATGTGCTGCTGGTGCGGAGCGAGGTACTTGACGACGTACGAGTAGAAGCTGAGCACGCAGAGCTTGTGTGCGCCCATGACGCGGCTGAGCAGCTGCATGAGGCGGATCTTGATTTCGATCGTGTGGCGCTTCTCGCGGTCGCCGCGGCTGAGGTTGTCGAACAGCTTCTCGCCAAAGTTCTGCGCGTCGTTGAGCAGGTAGAGCGCGGCAAAGTTGCCCGTATCCTTGTCGCCGCCGTTCAACGCGTTTTCCGCCTTGGCCTTTCGCTTCTTCTTGGCGACGGCGGCAGCGGCGCGCATCTTCTTGTCGCCGGAGCGCGTCTTTTTGTTGACCTTGCGCGCATGCAAGAGCGCATCGACGTCCGGCCCCTCGTCGTCGTCTGAGCCAGACTGTTCGGCATCGTCTTCGGCCGAGTGGAGGTCGCCGAGGAAGAAGCGCACGGCGGACGACTGGACGCGCGGATGCGGATGGAAGCAGCCGAGCGCCAGCAGGGAGACAGTCTTGCTGTCGGTCCAGATCTGCTTCTTCCACAGGTTGGCGGCCAGACGGACTGCCCAGAGCGCCTCGGTCTTGCCTGCCGACTGACCCTTTTTGGGAGGAGGCAGGGCGGAAGCACCGGAGGAGGCATCGATGCCCTTCTGGACGATGCCAAAGAGAAGGCCCTGGACGACACGGTTGAGTCGGTGGTTCTTGGACTTTGCGTTTGCGTTTTTGATGTCCTGCAGGATGGTCGCCTGTACCGACGTCCTGACGGCGGCCGAGGTTGTGACGCTGAGGAGCGGGAAGAGGGTCTGGAGGAGCTGCTCGGAGGTGATGACGTCGCGGTTGCGGAGGAGGATCAAGCTTCGGAGGCAGCTTGCGCGGATGTCGGGGCTGAGTGCGGCGTGGTGGTTGAGGAGCAAGTCGGAGAGGTGGTCTGGCAGATCACGCGTGATCTCTGGATACGAGGGCGCGAGCTGGGTGACAAACGAGATGAGCGAGACAAACTTGCTCGCCTGGTCCTTGTTGATGCGGATGCCTGCGGAAGCGATGGCGAGGCCGGCGTCGAGGTCGGAGGCAAAGATGCTGCGGAGCGACTGGTAGTGGTTCCATTGTGCGGAGAACTCCTCGACGTATGCTTCTGGCTGACGCTTGAGCAGGTTCTGGAGTGCAGGGAGGTTGTCTGCGTTGAGGAGACCTCGTGCGCGGCTGCGGTGGACGAGGCCGCCCTCGTTGATGAGCGGACTGGCCTTGACGACGGCCGGGGATGTTGTTGGCGGCATGATTGCCTGGTTGCCTGATTGCCTTGCTTGTCGTCCGAGGCCTGCTTTGAGACGACGGTGGTGGTGGGATGTCTAAGCTGAGTCGCCACTGGTGCCAGACTTGGTGAGAAGTGGTTGGCTTGGCTTGGCTTGGCTGCAGTGCCGCCTCAAGAGCCAACGACGCAAAAACAAAAATTTCGGACTTTTTTTTCCTGCTTCTGCAGCGTCTTTGGAGGCCGACCCTGAATTTGCTGAAAGCCGCCTCCTGCCCACTTTTTTTTTT